GCGGTGCTGCATGGATATATGAGTACGCACACATGCAACCGTATCTTCGGTAGCGGTTCTTGACAAATGCCTAAAGCAAACTCGTCCGAAATTGATTTTTAAGCCATTAGAACGAAGGCTTCTTCTTCGCAGGATTTTGGCCGTTTCACCCCTTTCTTTCGCAATTTTCCCACTGCTAGCATTTCAGGAGGAGCACCAAATTATCGTGCCATTTGCCTTTAAGACCTATTGCCAGCGATTACTCTGTTGGGGACAGCGCTAGTTTCTCAAAGAAGCAACGGTAATGTTTTTTCAGCGGAATGCCAACCATTCACCGAATTGTTCAATAAATTCAATCTGGAAATCAACTCTGGAATGGTGAGTATTTTTGAAGATTCTTCAAAACGAATCGTTCCGAAACCAGCAAAACCTTCCATATGCTAGGGTCTGTAACGGCCGCGGCAGGTGCCCGCTGCAATTCACTAAACACACATGCTATGCTGCACTATATGCTGTGCACATTCAGTACTTTTTCGTATGAATAGAAATGGAATGTATCCTAACGTATCGAAGGACAGATATACCAATTACTTTTGAATCTCGAGCTTAAAACTTCTTTTAAATCAGGGGACGCGCCTTTTACGCCGACAATTAAATGTCCAGATTACAGAGGATATGTACTAACGGATACGTCCTGCCGTTGGGGAAATTAATCCCTGAAAAATACTACTTCTTCCTCGGAACTCCCTCAGATGCGACCCCCCACCCCTTCCCCATAACCCTACCATCTTGCTAAACCTCACCTAATAAGCAAGTTTTTCCCCCAGGTGAGTATCCCCAGCCTTTTCTCCTAGAAGAACTTCTTCTGCGGGGGGGGGGGTATATTGCAGTAAGCGAAATGGGAAAAGGTGAAAGAAAGATAGCATCCGATAACGCATTCCTCTCGCAATGCATAATTCCACCCTCACACCTCGTGGAAATTCCTAAACGAAATGACGCGTTTTTCATTGGAGCCGTGCCTCAACAACATTCTTATTGGAGCCGTGCCTCAACAACATCGCTCACTCATGTAAAGTCCCTCAAAACAGCAGATTAAACGGCTTTGTAACTAGCTCTTTATCGATTATTATGATTCAGGCCATCAAATCAATTGCTTCCCTCTTTCTCCTGAAGTAGTCAATAGATCTTGGCGCTAAGAAGCTAGAAGGGACATTTGAAGAGGATCTTTTGCAATACTAGGACCACCTTCACCTGGATGGATTTACTACACTTGGGATGAGCTTACCCAACCCGGGCCACCTTCGTCTTTAGCCCGAGAATCATTCATTTTTCTGCAATGGAATCTCAAACAGCTTTTGCCTTCAGGTTCGAGACGAAGAACTTACTAGTGAAGCCTGTAGCGAAGCACTGAATGAGGGATTCCATGAAGCAGACTATGGGCTTATAACAGAAATGTTGGTATCTGTCTGCTTTACGGGTTTATCTGTACATGTTCCACAAATAATTTTGCGTTTTCAGGAATTTCTGGGATCGCTCATCACTATCAACTAAGGAAAAGGTTGAAGAAGCACTCAGAAGCTTCAGTACTTTCCAAATAGATGAAGTGAGTTTTACCATCACTCTACAAAATGAAGAGATCGATAAGCTTGCAGGAGTGTGATCCTTCTCCAGTCTTCTTTGGGCCAACCACTGGTTCGAAAGAGTGCTTCAGCTACTAAGTTAAAGGCAGCCCCGGAGCTTGAGCAGCTCGTAGACGCCCTATCTTAGAAGTAGTCTGGTCCTCAGTCTCCGAGATTATCTCACTTTCGCGGCTTCACAGTAATAACAAAGGCGCTATGACCCATATAAAGGGCAGCTTCTGACGCCTCCTCAGTTGTCCCGCCCACCGAAACTCGAAGTCTTTTTTTCTGCCACGTGTTCAGTTTTAGCGCAGTGCTTTTCGTTTTCTTTTCGCTTTTAGCTGGCATTAGCATTGTATGACGCGAAGAAACGATTAGGCGGTAGGATCTCGCTTTTTCTATCATAAAGCGAGCAGGTGCGGAC